TCTCTCTCTCTCTCTCTCTCTCTCTCTCTCTCTCTCTCTCTCTCTCTTTTCGTTTATATTCTAAATTTCTATTTTCTCGTGATACGCGTTATATTATAGTATCACATAAACGCTGATTTATATAGGATATACTACATATATTGTATATAACGTGTCAGTTACGTTATACAGAACTAACGGATAAATTATCTACGAGTCTAGTATTAATAAACGATTAGAATAAAATAGAAGGGTAAAATGTTTGTTATAACATACCAAAGAAAAGTAGCTGCAACAAACTAAAAGCACATTCGTTATGGTATCGTGAAAATGACCAGATCTTCTTATGCAAAGTGAAGGGGAATAATAGAAGCGGATCTCTACGATTTAGATTTCAAAAGATCTGTGGTAATACGAATATTTCTAAGACAACAAACCTTACCCGGAATATGTTCGTTGTTGAAATCTGTTAAATTAGCCATACGTTTTCTAAAGAAAAAAAAAGAAAAAAAGAAAGAAAGAAACAGGTGAGCCATCTTACATTGGGGTTTACGAATCTTCCTCTCTCTCTCTCTCACCCACACACACTCTTTAACTTGTTTTCTTTTTCTCCGAGTGCTCTCAGCCATCTTCGAATTCTTTGGACGTTCGCATTAATCGATGCATACCTTCGAGTCGAATGGCCTAGCTAGTTCTTAACAGCGTGTCGAGTTGCTTTCCCCCTTTTTCTTCGCGTTGTTTTTCCTATTTCTTTTAATTCCCCCTGCCCTGCCCTTCCCTCCCCACCTAACCCCACGCATCTTTTTTCAATTCTTCTTCCATACGCCAAACAGTAATCGCGTTGTCGTTGTCATCGGTGCATCGTGGATGCGGTTCTATACCGTAAACAAGTTACGAGGGAAAAGAAAAAAAAAAGAAAAGAAAAGTATCGGCTGTATGCAAACCATGGCTTGCATCGGACTCTCCGTGATCATGTTTTACATATATAGTCCTGGGTTACGGAATAATACGTTCGACTTGAAATTTTCGATTTAAAACTGAACCGTGACGGACGGTTAACGAATAAATTTGATGTATCTTTTCTTTTTTCTTTTTTTTTTCAAACACCAAATACAATAAATATAGGTTAGGAAAAGTGGAAAAAGAAAATAGAAAAAAAAACCAAATAAATGGAATAACGCATACGCGTACGCTCGGCATACCAGATATACTTATTAAAAAAAAGAGAAATAACTTCAAAAAAAAGAAAGAAAAGAAAAGAAAGAAATGATGGTAGGTCGATGCACCCTGCGTCAAAGTCTCGCAACGTCTCGCAGCATTATTTTCTTGTTCTTTTAGCTAATGACATAGCCGCGAAACGTTTCTCCGAGCTCGGTCTCGGTCGCACGATCGTTAGACAGCTCGGCAAATATCACCAGACGTATCTATCGGGCGAAAATTAGTTTCTTCCGTGTTGCACACTCCCTTTCTCGTTGGCTTCTCCTCGTACTTGTATCCTCCGCCACCATCACCACCACCACCACCATCACCACCACCACCATCGTCGTCGTCGTCGTCGTCGTACCAACGGAACTAAAATAGGAGAAACAGGATGAAGAGGAAGAGAAATAAAAAAAATGATCATTCGTATTTACTAGTCGAGCGTAAACCGTTCACGAACTATCCGACTATCGAACTACCTATCCCTGTCATTCTTACGCCTCTTCCCTTTTCCTGTTTCTTTATCTTTCTTTCTTTATTTATTTTTCTTCTTCTTATTCTTATTTTTCTTGTTCTTTCTTTCTTTCTTTCTTTCTTTCTTTCTTTCTTTCTTTCTTTCTTCCCTACGTGTAGTATCAAGTATGCGAAAATAATAGTAGATTCTTACCACGTTGAAGGATATTCCGAGCACGCGCGTGAACCGATCTCCAAGCAAACGATTCGAACAGACGATTCGAGGAAACAAGGTGGAAGCTCTTTGGTGAAAGGAAACGATCGTTATATAATAATACGATACGGATACCAAGCAAAAGTTTAATGTTCGAATTTAAGAATAAGAACTTATATATATTATATCATACGATTCGTTCATTGTTCTAATTCGCTCGTTTACTCCTATGAATATTGCTGAATTTCTAAGAGAAGAAATGCTCGTATTTTTATCGTTTCCCAAAGATTCTCCTCACCGCTAAAGGACCATATTTTTTTTCTCTCTCTCTCTCTCTCTCTCCAACCTCACCAGAGAGAAGGCTAACGTAAATGAGTAAACAAACCACAGCCGGTTTAGCGCGACGAGGTGTCGCGGTGCAAATAATCGTCTTTCTCGAAGATCCAAGGCGCGAAAGTGCACGTGTCTGCAAATATACCTTCTTTAATATGTGCTCGGAACGAACCATCCGAGCTTTCCTTTCGGACACTCCTTCTTCAACTCCACACTCTCTTACACCGGCTCTTTTCTTCCTCTCTTCCCTCATCGAGATTCTCTTCTCGCACCACTCGAGGGATAACCCGCCATCATCAACGAACGCGTCGAGTGATTTCCTCGTCCTCTTTCAATTTTCGTTTTCTTTTCTTTTCTTTTCTTTTTGTTTCTTTTCTTTTTTCTTTTTATTCTTTTTCATTTTGTTTCTTCTTCTTCTTCTTCTTCTTCTTCTTCTTCTTCTTCTTCTTCTTCTTCTTCTTCTTCTTCTTCTTCTTCCTATTTCTCCCACCTATAATGTGCCGATAATTACGACAGTGTGCTAATATTCTATAAGACATGAAATTGATTTTTCAAAATTATTCAATGACATTACGGTGATATATTATTTAAATAAATCATATAAAAAAAAAAAAAACGAAATTTTATTTTCAATATTTTCGTAATTTATAATTAATTATTACATTCGTGACACAATTGTCGGCACACGTTTACTATTCCTGATTTTCGGATCTTTCGAATTGTTTCTCTCTTTCGAATGCTATACAACGAGGGGTTGGAGATAAAGACATTCCCCTTTCCTCTCTTCCCTCCCTCTCATGTCAGAATGGATTGTACCTTTGTGTGAATCACGCGATTGAAAAGGAAACAACGCTCGTGGTACCACCCGCAGTCCAATCGACGTTAACGATGCTGTGTCAATGTCATGCGAGATTGAACGTTCAATGACCCTCCCCCCTCTTTCCAAGCCATTGCATAACGTCGTAGCTAGGAACGATCTCGCGGTCGTTAGACGTATGTACCATAGAACCCGAGCATTAGGCTAATCGAGTATAGCACGATGACGAGGGTCGTTCCACGCGTCGTTTATTAACGATTTTTCTATTAGAACAAGGCGTCTTTCGGTCGGAAGATCGAGTAGTTCTTTCTGACACGGATTAAATTCTTTTCTTTTCTTTTCTTTTTTTTTTATCAAGAATATTTATTAATCAATATAGTATTTCTTTTTTGTTTTCTTTTCCTTTCCATAACGACCAATCTCTATCGAGAATGACAAATCGTGTCGATAAAAAAAGGAAAACAAACGATGACCGAGAAATTTTCTCATAGAAACCGTACTATATAACCTTTCCCTTCTAAAAAAAACCCGCCCCCTCTCAGCCCCAGCCCAAGCCCCCCTTTTTTCTCATACTTATTCTCCGTGAGAAATAGATTATTGACCCAAGTAGGTGTAACGACTTATTATTGCGGCAATCGTCTACACGCTATAACGCGGGTAAGGCAAACCTCGTTTAAATTACAACGTAAGAGAGAGAGAGAGAGAGAGAGAGAGAGTAACGTAGATAAAGAGATACGAATAATCTATATCGGTGATCGTCTCTCTTATTCTACATTATTAAACATTTATAAAGTTCGCGCGTCTTTTTATAAATAGTAAATAGAATAAAAAAGAAAAAGAAAAAGAAAAATAATGATCGCATATATAGAAGAGAGAGGATTTGATATTTGTGGGTGGTGTTGACGGTTAACGAGTCGCGCGTTTTCATGTTTGTTCCTCAGAGAACGCGGATTGCACGACGATTCGCTGTCGGGAGGGGCAGACCTGCCTGACGGAGATAAAGTCCGGTCGGCCGCGTTGCGTGACTTGCACGTACCGTTGCCCCCGGAAGCGGGAACGCATCCGGAACCGGACGCACCGCGATCGTGATCGGGATCGAGATCCATCGACGACCATGCTGTGCGCGACCAACAACATCACCTATCCCAGCTGGTGTCACATCGTCAAGGACGCCTGCGTCACCGGCTTCGTTCTCGAGACGCGACATGCCGGACCCTGCAACGCCTACGACACATCTCCCCTTTATATCGGTGAGCAACCAATCCAAACGAGGCTCGAGCCTACACGTTTACCCACACTCACGCACGCTAGCACGCACGTATGCACGTATGCACGCACGCACGTATGCACGCACGCACGCACGCTAAAACGCTAGAACGCTACTAGCAAGCACGTACTTACACGTATATATGTATATATATATATATATACACATGTAAAGATAAGTAAAGACTCTATTCGTAGAATCGTCGATTTTCCGTGCTCTAGGCTTTCAACTATAAAGGACGCTTACATTAGTTTATTTTTATCCAGCTCGTTTCGGATCGACACGACGACGAATCGTTTATTTTAGATTTCGCCATCGCCATTGCCACCACCACTACGCATCACCACCATCACCATCATCACCACCACCACCACCAACCATCGCCGCGAGAAAATTTTCTTCTATTCGGGTTTTTGTCTAGATCTCTTTCGGTCCTAGGCTATCATCGATCTATTCATCTTGCTTGCTTGCTTGTGCTTGCCTGCTTGCTTGTGCTTGCCTGCTTGCTTGCCTGCTTGCTTACTTTCTTTATTTATTTTCTTTCTTTCCTTCCTTCCTTCCTTCTTTCTTTCTTTTCTCTCTTTACTCTAGTACTCTCAGAATATGGCGTGAGCCATTCAAGCGCCGCCGTTCTCTCGAACGAACGACCGACCGATCGGCAGGGTAATCCAGCGTGGAATTCGCTTTACTCAAGTCGCGTCTGCAAATAAACGCGCCCACGCAACCAGGCAACGTACACTATAAGAAACACCAAGAAATAACCAAACATCCAAATCAGCACCCAGATCGGAGAACCGGAAAAGAAATCGTATTGAAATAATTTTTCCCCCTTTTTAAAAAATACTTTCGCTAATATATCTTTTTTCTCCTTGTTTTTAAATATCCTATCCACATTTCGCAAAACTCCGGATAATAATATTTCCGCATGTTACTTGTGTATACGTTAAGATCAATGTAAAATAATCCAGGCATTCTATTAGAATTGTCCGCTAAAATCTTCTCGTACATTGCCCGGTCAATCTATGAAATACTCAAAGGATTTTTCTCAATCTAAAATATAATATGCTACAATTGGATTATGTTTAGAGCAACGGGGAATTAAGGGAACTGTTTTTTTAAAAGCTCGCGTATAACCATAAATGAAAAACGAACAATGAAAATGTAGAAAATTTCTTCACAATGTCCTTTAACGAGTTTAACTTAATCTTTCAAATGTGACGTAACGTGTCATACGTAAATAGGTTTCTTTTTAAATCGTTATACCTATCGGATTCGAATTCGTAACGCATTTCCGTTCTTTTTTTTTATTTATCCTTCCATCATCTATTTGTATCTTTTGTTAGATGCGTTTTTGTTCTTTTCTTTTTTTTTTTAATTCTACCTACACATCTTTTGAAGGTTTTCAATCGGCGAGTAAAGCGCGGGACGAACAGGTAGGAAATCGATTTGCACGACAAAACACGTAACAATAGTAGTCGCGCTGTTCGTTCCACCTCCCTACTAGCACCTACTCCCTTCCACTTTGTTAACAGCAACCTAGCGCACTCGTTGCGCGCCGGTGCGAACCCGTGTGTGTGTGTTGGTGAGAGATGCAAGGACCTGTTGCGCGTGTAACACGGAAGTGGGAAAGTCGTTCGTGCATCGATTCATAATAGACTATTTCTTTTGTCGTCTGACGCGATTAGGATCCGTGTGTTAACCTATTCAACGATACTATATACAGTACTTCGCTTTTCCCCGTATCGAAATTATTTATTATACATATTTTTTTGTTCATTCTCTATTATCTTATATCCTTCTTTTCATTATTTTCTCTTTAATTTCATTTAATTTTCCTGATTTATATTTATTTATATCTTGTTTGTAAGAAAGGGAGAGGGAGGGAGAGGAATTTTCTTTTTTTTTCTCTTGTTGGTTTCATTATATTTTTTTATTACATTCGTAAAAAGAAACGAGTGAAATATCGATACAAAGAGGCGAAATGTTTAACATTTTTTGTTACAGAAGAGGACAACACGTCGAGCAATTATGGCGTAGATTTGGCAGACGAGGAGAGAAAAATCTCGGAGGAAGATTCAGAATCCTCTAAGACTTTCCAACAACATCATACGTTGGCATCGACGTAGCGTGGTTCGAATTAAACAACCATAACCCGAATGGTAGGATAGATAAAAATGCAAGCAAGTCGAATCGTCTTAACGAATGATGAATCGGAAAGATAATAGTTGTTCCTTCTTTCGAGACTCGAATGATCCCTTTCACGAAAATTCCATGACTATGCATGTCCGATATGTATATATATATGTGTGTATATAGAGATATACATATACACGCATACATAGATGTATACATGTAGTATGTATTTATATATCGGTGAGAAGAGATACGAGTGAAAGGGGAAAATATAGATATATATATATATATATATATATATATATGTATGTATGTTTGTATGTATGTATGTATGTATGTATGTATGTATGTTTGTATGT